CAGCTATGAGTGTCACTCTCATACGTGTTTGACTGTTGATGCGCCTTGTTTTTATTTCTGCAGTGAGCCTTGAAAACTCACCTCAGACTGCCCACTTTCTTCTTTAAAACTCATATTAGAGGGTATCCGCAGGTCCTTAAAAAGTCTTAAAGTTTTAAATTTGCTTTTTTAAATTTAAGGTCTTAAAAATCATTAGAAATGACAAATAATCCTTAATTACAGTTTCCAAATGTCTTAAATTACCAAAGACCCAATGAACAAGAATTTGTAGTTAGTGTTCAGCATTTTTTGTTTATGATATTGGCATAAGTGGAACTGTACACATTCAGTTGGTTGTGAAAGGGGACTATTTTTAGATGAGCACATTAGCTGGTTAAGCTAGTGGGAGCTTGCACCATGGGGAAGTGCAAGTTTAATGGTAACTGGGTGGGTAATCCCACGTTTGCGACGTGGTTAGCACCAGTGCCAGGCAATAGCTGAAAATTATAGCTTAAATATAATTAAAAAATAGCTTAAATTTGGTCAAAGTGGCCTTAAAAAAGGTCTTAAAAAGCCTTAAATTTGGCTCCCTTAAACCTGCAGATACCCTGTTAAATAACGAGCTTTCTCCGCATCGTATTTTTTGTTGTAGAATGAAAACATTACATCAACTGCCGTGGGGGAAAAGTTCAGTAGACATGTTGTTTACGTTCAGCGTCTCTACTGTCTCCACAGTAGCAGCGACAGCCAGCTGGTTTGATCTGCTCAGAAAGACGTTGATCAGAATTTGCAGATCACCTTTTTTAATCGGAGATCAGGTGCGTGCAACCATCATGCGTCACTCAATACAGCGTCGGTGCGGAAACTCGCCTATGAACTTTGATCTGCTGCACTTAAATCATGCAAACAAAATTTCATTATTTAATGGAAAATGAACCAAAATGGTACGCAAGTGGCCCGAACCGTTAAACCCCTAATATATACATGCAGCTGTAAAATTGGCAGCACATAATTTTGTTTTTTTTCTGTAGATTACTGAATTACACATCAGGACAGTATGATGGAGTTAAGACCTGTAGTCAGCTGAGAGCTCCCGGTGGTACGAGCACAAAAATTAAATATTTAACAAAAGTAAACAAACTGTACCGATTTTGGTTCTTAAGACTAACAGAATCCTTCCCGGTGTCCAAATCGGGTCGCGGGTCTTCTGCGTCAAACGGTCCAACACATGTCTGCATCTCCGTTAGTGATATCCAGCTAGCGGGGTCGGAGTTCGGTTGAACTTCTCCGGTAATCATCCCAGAGAAAAAAACAATCTGACCGACTAGCAGAGGCTTCAGAAGCTACATCTTGACTGATGACACATTGTTCTCAGCTATAACTCTTAACACAGAAACATCGTAGTCAGGTGCTTTTTCTTCAGACCTCCTGTGAAACGTCACCAGCTGTCCAGGGCTTAGACCTGAAGCTAGTTTCTGTTTTTCCCGTGCCAGTCAGAAACATCAGATTTTCTTCAAATTCCAGCCGTGAAAAATCCAAAAACATTTTTCATTGAGGTTTTATACTTTAAACATGCCATTCAAAGGAATTTAGCCTGTGGCCAATATCATTAAGATAGATTTTGAGTACTAGATAGTAAAGCCTCTATTCTGTGGTTAGAAGTCTCCTCGACGAGGGAGTGGAGAGCCGGACCAGAACACATCATCTCCTTTTCCAAGGGTGATGAACGAGATGTACTGAACCTCACTGAGGAAACAGCACCGGCAGGATTCAGCAGTGTGGTAGGACTGACTTTGGGTTGCAATGATTATAAATTTATAAAAAAAATTTGCCCCCTCAGAGTTTTCATGAATGTTAACTAAAACTATTAAACCTTAAAGGGCTTTCTGATCAGTTTATCTCTGCTGTCAAATTGGCATTTTTGACATGTGATTCGATGAGGATTAGCTCTCTTCTGGTGGATGAGGGTGGAAATGCAATTTTTTTTGCCTCTTCCTTGTTGGCTTCACTTTCATACCAGAATTATGGGGGCTGTCGTGGTGGAAATTATTCCATCTAACCACTCCCTGGTTCTTTGGAGGTGACCCTGAAGAGAGATCCACACTTTAAGCTAGGGCTGGGCGATATGGCCTAAAACTAATATCACAATATATTGAGGATTTAACCTCAATAATGTTAAATGGACCATAACTGCAGGTAAGTTGTCCACTAGATGGGGCTGTCACATGTATTATATTTAGTCACATTTTTACGCATCTCAAGGTGGTACAGCTTCTTAAAGGGACATGAATGTTGCCCAGCTACACACATCTTTTCATTTTTTTATTATCAAATTTATTGACATGGGAAAAATGATCTCGATAAGAGTCAGAAATTTCGATAACGATACATTTTCGATTTATTGCCCAGCCCTACTTTAAGCCCATTATAATATGTACACACACAAAGATCTTTGGTTGGCTTCTGGTGAGAAGAACACAAGCAGTTCCCTGCCGATGTATCTTCTAACTTTCGACTCTTCTCGTCAGCCCTTTTATTGAATTGCATGAAATTTTTATTTTTATTTTACAACAGTTCCACAATAGACTGGGGCGTTCCCACTTCACAGTCATACACTACTCCTCCTCATGTGAGCGGTCTTCATGAGTTCACAGTCTAAAGCACCTTCTGACTTTCCCTGACCCTCAACATCCAAGACTTTTTCTAAGACTGAACTTGTGATCTCTGGCTCAGCAACGAGGTCAAAAGTTTTATCAATCAGACACTTCCCCATGACATAACTCGTGATCTTCTTTTGACCACAAGCAGTAAGAGTCAGGCCATTGTTATAGAAACTTTCAACACCAATGTTTTCTGGAACGTTATCTCTGTTAGTCTGCAGCACTTCGACAAAGTTTTATTTCCTTATATATGAAGATTAAATGATTGACCAACACATTCATAACCTGACAGCAATTAGACTGAAGTTGACTATATTAGTTTAAACAGAAAAGGTTATATTGGTTAAGTGTAAAAATGATTATTCTCAAAAAGATTATATTGATTAGCTTTAAAAATGATTATGCTGATTAGGGCTGCAATGATTCCTCGAGTAACTCGAATGATTCGCTGACAAAAAATATTCGAGAATTTTCCGCTGCCTCGGACTCGTTAAATAGACCATAGCTGAATATCCGGCATTGCGCATGGATTCTTTATGTGTTGCGCAACGCGGTTACGTCACAGATTATACGTGCCATGTACTCCACTGCACAGCGCGCAGCGGTCTTTTCGTCTTTTCAGCTGGGTAGCCGACAATGGCAGACGCCATGGAAATAAATGAAAACGAGCAAGACCAAAACGAAGGATATATTAAGCGACAGAAGTTTTCCAAGGCATGGGATCACTTTACATTAAAAAGCAAGGAAAACGCCATTGTATGCAAGCATTGCAAGGTGGAGCTACCACAAAAGCACTTCTTCCATGCTGCTGCACCTCTTAAGAAAGCATCCGACTGAGGGTATGAGTGAACGTGCCGAGATCAGGTAAATAAACTTTTTTTCAGGACGTAAATATTGACTCAGCTGTAGTGTCAATAAAATACATTTATTTTTTATAAGTTAGTTTTAAATTTCTGCCCTAAAATGCATCTGTTAAGTGTATATTTTTAAAATTGGTTTACAAAAAAAAAATCTTTGTGTAGCGGAGGCAAATGTGTATTATTTATTTGATATTCTGTATAAATATACAATATTACCTTACTTGATCTTTATTGTAAATATCAGAAGATTATAGGATTTTTGCTTTATTAAGTAATTATACACACCTCGTTTTGATTCAGAAAAGAGTCAGGTTTATAATTGTAAGAATTTATTTTAGAAACAATTAAAACATGACAAGTGAACTAAGCATTTACTGTGAATGGATGGAGCTAAAGGTGATGTAGGAACCTACACTCAACAAAAATATAAACGCAACACCTTTGTTTCTGCTCCGATTTTTCATGAGATGGACTTAAAGATCTGAAATTCAGTCCAGATACACAATATTACCATTTCTCTCAAACATTGATCACAAATCAGTCTAAATGTATGATAGTGAGCACCTGTGCTTTGCTAAGATAATCCATCCCACCTCACAGGTGTGCCACATCAAGATGCTGATCTGACATCATGAGTAGTGCACAGGTGTACCTTATACTGCCCACAATTAAAGGCCACCCAGGAATGTGCAGTTAATTGCTTTATTGGGGGTCTGGGGACTCAGAACCGGTCAGTATCTGGTGTGACCACCATTTGCCTTATGCAGTGCAACACATCTTCTTCGCATAGAGTTGATCAGATTGTCAATTGTGGCCTGTGGAATGTTGGTCCACTCCTCTTCAATGGTTGTGTGAAGTTGTTGGATATTAGTGGGAACTGGTACACGCTGTCGTATACGCCGGTCAAGCACATCCCAAACATGCTCAATGGGTGACATGTTCGGTGAGTATGCGTGGCCATGCAAGAACTGGGACATTTTCAGCTTCCAAGAATTGTGTACAGATCCTTGCAACATGGGGCCGTGCATTATCTTGCTGAAACATGAGGTAATGTTCATGGATGTACGGCACAACAATGGGCCTCAGGATCTCATCACGGTATCTCTGTGCATTCAAAATGCCATCAATAAAATGCACCTGTGTTCTTCGTCCATAACAGATGCCTGTCCATTAGGGATGAGTACCGAATTCGGTACTTTTTAAGGTACCGACCGAATTCCATAGTACCGACCGAACACCGATTCACGTCATTTCAAACGGTGCCTCGTTTCGGTACTGCCAAGACAGTTGCGCATGCGCAAGAGCGTTATGTTGCCGGTCCCTGCGAGCCCGTTGTAAACAGAGCAAGCATGGTAGAAAGAATGCACGCTAAACCTTGGGTCCACTTCACTAAATGTGATGGGTAACTGGGTGATGAAACTAGCGACAGACAACGATCTAAGTGAGACATCCTCATCTTAATCTGCTCGTAGGTAAATAAAATGTTTAAGATAATGTTACCTTGATTTGTTAGCTTCCGTTTCGCTAATGGAGCGTTCGCTTTCTCCTCGGAACTCCGAATTTCCGACTAGAAGAACATGAACGCGCTCTAAAGTTTGGCTTTACTTTACTAAATGCGACGGGTGAATGGATGAAGGTAAAACCAGCGACAACGATCTAAGTTTGAGGCATCATCGTTTTAATCTGCTCCAGCAGCTAAATAAACTGTTAAAGATAACGTTAGCTTGATATGTTAGCTTCCATTGCCACCGTTGTTACCAGCTAATGGTGCGTTCGCTTTCTCCTCGGAAATTCTAACTTCCCAGTAGGAAAAATCAAATGAAAAAGGACGGCAAAAGGAATGAAGATACACAGTAAATTTAGTTCACAGTAAAGATGTTTGCTTCAGTTTAATTATCAGCTTATAAAACTACAAGGACGATGTTAAAATACAAACTTGTATGTTATTTATCGTGATATTTATCAAATATGGTTATATATTGAGAAAAATATATATTTAATTATAAAAGAGAATTAAAATAATAAACACTCAAAAGTATCGAAAATTGGTACCGTTAAGTACCGGTATCGACTCGTAGGTACCGGGAATTAGTACCGGATCGATTCAAATGTCAAAGGTACCCATCCCTACTGTCCATACCATAACCCCACCACCACCATTGGCCACTCGATCCACAACATTGACATCAGCAAATTGCTCATCCGCATGACGCCACACACGCTGTCTGCCATCTGCCCTGAACAATGTAAACCGAGATTCAACCGTGAAGACAACACCTCTCCAACATGCCAGACGCCATTCAATGTGAGCATTTGCCCACTCAAGTCTGTCACGGTGACGAGCTGGAGTCAGGTCAAGACCCCGATGGGGACGACGAGCATGCAGTTGAGCTTGCCTGAGACGGTTTCTGATTTAAACCCTCTCAGTTCTTTGTCTTTTGTTGGTTCATTGTTTCAGTGTCCAGCGTGTTTTTATATTAAACTATACTAAACGTTCGTGTCTATCTGCCTGCCTTCCTCACCCACATGTGGATCCTCACCTCCGCTTCACTCACCAGCACGCCGTGACAGAATGAACCAAACTCCTAAAGGATCCAGCGGGGAGGTTCTCCCCTGGGAGTACCTGCTTCAGTTCCTCACCTCAAACCACCGGCCGGCTTCTCCTCCTCCGGCGTCGCCTCGCCGCAGACGCCGCTGCCGAACCCCGGCCTCGGCGATCCTCTCCACCCTCCCGGAGCCAGTTGGGGGGTTGGACTGGGAGACGCAGCTAGACCGCTCCTGCTATGTGGGCACCAGACTGGCAGTGTGCTCCCCCAGAGTTAGCCCACGGTGTTGGGAAGGATGCCGGGCTCCAGCGTCAACCCCTGTCCCAGGACGGAACCACGGGCTCACCGCTACCCCGGCTTGGGACACCAGCTTGGACCCACCCCAGTCAGATCAGCGGCCCCATCTCCGGTCCAGTCAGCACCTCCTTCATCTACAGGCGGAGGGCCCACGCCTACAGCCCATCAGACGGAGCTCACCAGCCTCCAAGTGGAGCTTGACTGGCTCCGTCAACTCATCAGCCTCCAGGAGTTCCAGCTGGACATCCTATCCTCCTCGTATCTCCAGGAGAAGGTTTCTGTCCAGCCAGCGGCCCCACCTCCGGTCCAGTCAGCAGCTCCCTCGTCTCCAGGCCAAAGGACCGAACCCACAGCCCATCCAACAGAGCTCGCCGGTCTCCGAGCTGAGCTGGTCCGACTCCTTCAGATTTTCAGGCTCCAGGAGCTCCTGGTGGACAATCTAACCTCCCTGCTTTTCCAGTTACCGGCTCCACCAGGTCCTGCGCCACCAGTCCAGTCTGCGCCAGGTCCCGCGCCACCAGTCCAGTCTGCGCCAGGTCCCGCGCCACCAGTCGAGTCAGCGCCAGGTCCCGCGCCACCAGTCCAGTCAGCGATAGGTCCCGCGTCACCCGTCCAGTCAGCGCCAGGTCCCGCGCCACCCTTCCAGTCAGTGCCAGGTCCCGCGGTGGTCCAATAGGCTCCGCCCCCGGGCCAGCCTGTCCAAGAGTCTCCGCCCCCGGGCCAGCCTGTCCAAGAGTCTCCGCCCCGGAGCCAGCCTGTCCAAGAGGCTCCGTCCCCGGGCCAGCCTGTCCAAGAGGCTCTGCCCCCGGGCCAGCCGGTCCAGTTGTCAGCGCACAGTCCGGCGGCACCAGCCAAGGAAGCGGTCCCGTCTGCAGCGGTTCCGCCTCGACTCCAGAAGTTGGCGGCCCCTCCTGCGGCGCCTCCACTCCAGAAATCGGCGGCGCCTCCAGTCCAGAAGTCGATGCCTCCAGTCCAGAAGTCGATGCCTCCAGTCAGGAAGTCGGCGCCTCCAGTCAGGAAGTCGGCGCCTCCAGTCCAGAAGTCGACGCCTCCAGTCCAAAAGTCGACGCCTCCAGCCCGGAGGTCGACGCCTCCAGCCCAGATGTCAACGCCCCCAGCCCAGGGGTCGACGTCGCCTCCAGCCCAGGGGTCGACGTCTCCTCCTCCAGCCCAGAGGTCGGCGACGTCTCCTCCTCCAGCCCAGAGGTCGGCGACGTCTCCTCCAGCCCAGAGGTCGACGACGTCTCCTCCAGCCCAGAAGTCGACGACGTCTCCTCCAGCCCAGAAGTCGACGACGTCTCCTCCAGCCCAGAACTCGACGACGTCTCCTCCAGCCCAGAAGTCGACGACGTCTCCTCCAGCCCAGAAGTCGACGACGTCTCCACCAGCCCAGAAGTCAACGACGTCTCCTCCAGTCCAGAAGTCGACGACATGTCCTCCAGCATCTCTACCTGCCGAGTCTACCCCTGCAGCGGCTCTGCCTCCGGTCACCGCCGGTCCTGCCCTCGCCAGGTGTGGAGGGGCCACGCCTACAGCCCATCAAACGGAGCTCGCCGGCCTCCAAGTGGAGCTTGACCGGCTCCGTCAACTCATCAGCCTCCAGGAGTTCCAGCTGGACACCCTATCCTCCTCGTATCTCCAGGAGAAGGTTTCTGTCCAGCCAGCGGCTCCGCCTCCGGTTCTGTCAGCAGCTCCCTCGTCTCCAGGCCAAAGGACCGAACCCACAGCCCATCCAACAGAGCTCGCCGGTCTCCGAGCTGAGCTGGTCCGACTCCGTCAGATTTTCAGTCTCCAGGAGCTCCTGGTGGACAATCTAACCTCCCTGCTTTTCCAGTTACCGGCTCCACCAGGTCCTGCGCCACCAGTCCAGTCTGCGCCAGGTCCCGCGCCACCAGTCCAGTCAGCGCCAGGTCCCGCACCACCAGTCCAGTCTGCGCCAGGTCCCGCGCCACCAGTCCAGTCTGCGCCAGGTCCCGCGCCACCAGTCCAGTCAGCGCCAGGTCCCGCACCACCAGTCCAGTCTGCGCCAGGTCCCGCGCCACCAGTCCAGTCAGCGCTAGGTCCCGCGCCACCCGTCCAGTGAGCGCCAGGTCCCGCGCCAGCCGTCCAGTCAGCGCCAGGTCCCGCGGTGGTCCAAGAGTCTCCGTCCCCGGGCCAGCCTGTCCAAGAGTCTCCGCCCCCGGGCCAGCCTGTCCAGTTGTCAGCGCACAGTCCGGCGGAACCAGCCAGGGGAGCGGTCCCGTCTGCAGCGGCTCCACCTCCACTCCAGAAGTTGGTGGCCCCTCCTGCGGCGCCTCCACTCCAAAAGTCAGCGGCGCCTCCACTCCACAAGTCGGCGGCGCCTCCAGTCCAGAAGTCGACGCCTCCAGTCCAGAAGTCGACGCCTCCAGTCCAGAAGTTGACGCCTCCAGTCCAGAAGTCGACGCCTCCAGCCCGGAAGTCGACGCCTCCAGCCCGGAAGTCGACGCCTCCAGCCCGGAGGTCGACGCCTCCAGCCCAGAGGTCGACGCTTCCAGACCAGACGTCGATGCCTCCAGCCCAGACGTCGACGTCGCCTCCAGCCCAAGGGTCAACGTCTCCTCCTCCAGCTCAGAGTTCAACTCCTCCTCCTCCAACCCAGAGGTCGGCGACGTCTCCTCCAGCCCAGAAGTCAACGACGTCTCCTCCAGCCCAGAGGTCGACGACGTCTCCTCCAGCCCAGAAGTCGACGACGTCTCCTCCAGCCCAGAAGTCGACGACGTCTCCTCCAGTCCAGAAGTCGACGACGTCTCCACCAGCCCAGAAGTCGACGACGTCCCCACCAGCCCAGAAGTCGACGAAGTCTCCTCCAGTCCAGAAGTCGACGACGTCTCCTCCAGTCCAGAAGTTGACGACGTCTCCTCCAGTCCAGAAGTCGACGACGTCTCCTCCAGTCCAGAAGTCGACTACGTCTCCTCCAGTGTCTCTACCTGCCGAGTCTACCCCTGCAGCGGCTCTGCCTCCGGTCACCGCCGGTCCTGCCCTCGCCAGGCGCGAGCCTCCCAGAGCCCGCCGCCGTCTCCTCCTCTGCCCCAGACGCAGGCCCCCCCAGAGCCTGTCACCGTCTCCTCCTCTGCCCCAGACGCAGGCCCCCCAGAGCCCGTTGTCGTCTCCTCCTCTGTCCCAGACGTAGGCCCCTCAGAGCCCGTCGCCGTCTCCTCCTCTGCCCCAGACGCAGGCCCCTGGACTCTACTGGTCCCTGCCTCTTCTCCACCAGTCCCTCGGTTCCTCTCGGCCCTCCTTCCTGGTCCCCCTCCTCCCGCCCTGCTCTGTGTTCCTGTGGGCGTCTGGAATCCGCTCTCTGGGGGGTGGGGTGGGGTGGGGGGGTGGGGTGCTTTTATTGTGGGCAGTATAAGGTACACCTGTGCACTACTCATGATGTCGGATCAGCATCTTGATGTGGCATACCTGTGAGGTGGGATGGATTATGTCACACCCTGTCCTGTCTCCCCATTCTGTTCAGTCATGTGTCTCTGTTAATTGCTCCCACCTACCTCTCTTTTTCCAATCACCCAAGCTCCCAGCCCTCATGTATTTAAACCCTCTCAGTTCTGTGTCTTTTGACGGTTTATTGTTTCAGTGTCCAGCGTGTTTTTATATTAAACTTTACTAAACGTTCGTGTCTATCTGCCTGCCTTCCTCACCCGCATGTGGATCCTCACCTCCGCTTCACTCACCAGCATGCCGTGACAGATTATCTCAGCAATGCAGAAGTGCTCACTATCACACATTTAGATTGATTTGTGAACAATGTTTGAGAAAAATGGTAATATTGTGTATCTGGAATGTATTTTAGATCTTTATGTCCATCTCATGGAAAATCGGAGCAGAAACAAAGGTGTTGCGTTTATATTTTTGTTGAGTGTATGTGTAAATGCGGTGTTGGTCAGAACTTCAGAATCTCGGAAAGCGGCGTCTCTGGATGAAAAAGAATTTGGTTTGTTCTAAACTATGATGTTATCTTCAGAAGCACATTCAGACGCAATCTCTGTGTTCTACCTCACCCTTTTGATGACCTTCGTCACGGATTCGGAGGTCAGAGAGGCAGGATGACCTCTGGGCACCCAGGTCCGGTAGATTGACTGCGAGCACCGACTTCTCCGGTCCAAAAGATATCACCACGCAGCACAGGTTGGAATCAGCTTGCGTCTCAGGAATAACTCTTAAGGAGTTGAACAATATCAGCTTTGTTCTGCATGAACTGTTTGCTGTCTCAGCTTTGTAGGTGCAAAAAGGTTTTGATGATGTGTCAAAATCTTTGATTATTAAAGAGATATGCTAAAGATGGCCGGTCTGAAGCTTTCTCTAGAACTGGCAAATCACTCAAAGTGATTTAGTTTTAAAGAATTTATGTTATGATTTTCACAGTCAATCAGAGGCTGACAGGAAAGATGTTACCAAGACGACTCAGAAACACGCCTTCTTTAATATGGAAGTCCTGACTGGTAAAGAAAACAAGTTATGTGTTGTAGTCTAACTTAACCGTACTTGTTATTGTGGATGTGCAGGTGTGAGGACCTTGTCGTCAAAACATCTGAGGAGACAGAAAAATGGGAACGGTGCGGTAAAGTTATGAGGAAAAACAGTTCAGAAGTTAACCTTTCTACCTATTACTTACCTAAAAATGTTTTTGTGTAACAGATGATGCATTCTGGATAATTGGAGTGTCGAGAAAACCGGATGACTTTTGAACGTTTTGGTGAGTAGGCAGTTTTAAGACCGCTAACGGACTAGCAGCAAAAGCTTATCTTAAAGTGAAACTGAGTTGGAAAAAACTTATTTATGTGCTAAAACGTTTAAGTACCAGTTCACTGACAGTATGTTGAAAATGTATTGGTTTTAATCACTAGTATGAAGCTAGTCTGGTGACATTGAGGGGGGGGGGAACCTTGCCACGCAGTCGTGGCCGCAAGTTATTTTTCCCCCTTAAATGTCACCAGACAGGCACCATAATAGGAGTTTTCCATTTGCTGTAACATTTTTTCTTTGCCAAATAACCTCCACTTTGTACAGCGATACTGCTAAAAGATGGTGATGAAACCAGAGACCTGATTTGTTTATGAATGGGTAAATTAAATGATTCTGTACTTAATTATTTAAAGAAAACTTCACATCTGTGAAAACACTTTTGTTAAAAACAGATTTACAGCCATGATTTAAGGTTATATTTTTATCTTTTGGGAAGAAATTATTACAAAGAAAAACATTGTAATAAAAATGGATTTTTGTAAAGATTTATTGTGCTCAATAGTAATCTTTGACATGCTATATACAGGGTACATGTGCTATATATGACTATCAAAGGTATTGGCCAGACTCAGCATTAAAATTGTAAAAATTCAGTGTAACTATACTTTACCAATTATATAAATATGAACTTGGTTCAGTTTTTCATTTTGTTAAAGAGCAAGTCACCCTCAAATCAACTTTTTTGCTATTAAACTATATAAATGAGTCTCTAATCGTTAGGGGTATAACAGTACGCTAAAATCGTATTCGATTCGGTTCAGTGTTTTGAAGAGCTCAGTTCAAATCGTTTTCTGTATATTATTATATTTATTTATTTTTTGTCTGAAGCGGCTTCTGTAGTGAGCAGAACCAGGTGTCCTCACAAGCTGCTGATCTAGTATGATGTCTTTAAATATTTCACAGTTTATTTGCGCAGGGTTAGGGTTAGGGTTGGCAGGGTTGGTTGTGAAAGGGGGCTATTTTTAGATGAGCACATTAGCTGGTTAAGCTAGTGGGAGCTTGCACCATGGGGAAGTGCAAGTTTAATGGTAACTGGGTGGGTAATCCCACGTTTGCGACGTGGTTAACACCAGTGCCAGGCAATAGCTGAAAATTATAGCTTAAATATAATTAAAAAATAGCTTAAATTTGGTCAAAGTGGCCTTAAAAAAGGTCTTAAAAAGCCTTAAATTTGGCTCCCTTAAACCTGCAGATACCCTGTTAAATAACGAGCTTTCTCCGCATCGTATTTTTTGTTGTAGAATGAAAACATTACATCAACTGCCGTGGGGGAAAAGTTCAGTAGACATGTTGTTTACGTTCAGCGTCTCTACTGTCTCCACAGTAGCAGCGACAGCCAGCTGGTTTGATCTGCTCAGAAAGACATTGATCAGAATTTGCAGATCACCTTTTTTAATCGGAGATCAGGTGCGTGCAACCATCATGCGTCACTCAATACAGCGTCGGTGCGGAAACTCGCCTATGAACTTTGATCTGCTGCACTTAAATCATGCAAACAAAATTTCATTATTTAATGGAAAATGAACCAAAATGGTACGCAAGTGGCCCGAACCGTTAAACCCCTAATATATACATGCAGCTGTAAAATTGGCAGCACATAATTTTGTTTTTTTTTTCTGTAGATTACTGAATTACACATCAGGACAGCATGATGGAGTTAAGACCTGTAGTCAGCTGAGAGCTCCCGGTGGTACAAGCACAAAAATTAAATATTTAACAAAAGTAAACAAACTGTACCGATTTTGGTTCTTAAGACTAACAGAATCCTTCCCGGTGTCCAAATCGGGTCGCGGGTCTTCTGCGTCAAACGGTCCAACACATGTCTGCACCTCCGTTAGTGATATCCAGCTAGCGGGGTCGGAGTTCGGTTGAACTTCTCCGGTAATCATCCCAGAGAAAAAAACAATCTGACCGACTAGCAGAGGCTTCAGAAGCTACATCTTGACTGATGACACATTGTTCTCAGCTATAACTCTTAACACAGAAACATCGTAGTCAGGTGCTTTTTCTTCAGACCTCCTGTGAAACGTCACCAGCTGTCCAGGGCTTAGACCTGAAGCTAGTTTCTGTTTTTCCCGTGCCAGTCAGAAACATCAGATTTTCTTCAAATTCCAGCCGTGAAAATCCAAAAACATTTTTCATTGAGGTTTTATACTTTAAACATGCCATTCAAAGGAATTTAGCCTGTGGCCAATATCATTAAGATAGATTTTGAGTACTAGATAGTAAAGCCTCTATTCTGTGGTTAGAAGTCTCCTCGACGAGGGAGTGGAGAGCCGGACCAGAACACATCATCTCCTTTTCCAAGGGTGATGAACGAGATGTACTGAACCTCACTGAGGAAACAGCACCGGCAGGATTCAGCAGTGTGGTAGGACTGACTTTGGGTTGCAATGATTATAAATTTATAAAAAAAATTTGCCCCCTCAGAGTTTTCATGAATGTTAACTAGATCTATTAAAGCTTAAAGGGCTTTCTGATCAGTTTATCTCTGCTGTCAAATTGGCATTTTTGACATGTGATTCGATGAGGATTAGCTCTCTTCTGGTGGATGAGGGTGGAAATGCATTTTTTGTGTGCCTCTTCCTTGTTGGCTTCACTTTCATACCAGAATTATGGGGGCTGTCGTGGTGGAAATTATTCCATCTAACCACTCCCTGGTTCTTTGGAGGTGACCCTGAAGAGAGATGCACACTTTAAGCTAGGGCTGGGCAATATGGCCTAAAACTAATATCACAATATATTGAGGATTTAACCTCAATAATGATAAATGGACCATAACTGCAGGTAAGTTGTCCACTAGATGGGGCTGTCACATGTATTATATTTAGTCACATTTTTACGCATCTCAAGGTGGTACAGCTTCTTAAAGGGACATGAATGTTGCCCAGCTACACACATCTTTTCATTTTTTTATTATCAAATTTATTGACATGGGAAAAATGATCTCGATAAGAGTCAGAAATTTCGATAACGATACATTTTCGATTTATTGCCCAGCCCTACTTTAAGCCCATTATAATATGTACACACACAAAGATCTTTGGTTGGCTTCTGGTGAGAAGAACACAAGCAGTTCCCTGCCGATGTATCTTCTAACTTTCGACTCTTCTCGTCAGCCCTTTTATTGAATTGCATGAAAATTTTTTTAAATTTTACAACAGTTCCACAATAGACTGGGGCGTTCCCACTTCACAGTCATACACTACTCCTCCTCATGTGAGCGGTCTTCATGAGTTCACAGTCTAAAGCACCTTCTGACTTTCCCTGACCCTCAACATCCAGGACTTTTTCTAAGACTGAACTTGTGATCTCTGGCTCAGCAACGAGGTCAAAAGTTTATCAATCAGACACTTCCCCATGACATAACTCGTGATCTTCTTTTGACCACAAGCAGTAAGAGTCAGGCAATTGTTATAGAAACTTTCAACACCAATGTTTTCTGGAACGTTATCTCTGTTAGTCTGCAGCACTTCGACAAAGTTTTATTTCCTTATATATGAAGATTAAATGATTGACCAACACATTCATAACCTGACAGCAATTAGACTGAAGTTGACTATATTAGTTTAAACAGAAAAGGTTATATTGGTTAAGTGTAAAAATGATTATTCTCAAAAAGATTATATTGATTAGCTTTAAAAATGATTATGCTGATTAGGGCTGCAATGATTCCTCGAGTAACTCGAATGATTCGCTGACAAAAAATATTCGAGAATTTTCCGCTGCCTCGAGGACTCGTTAAATAGACCATAGCTGAATATCCGGCATTGCGCATGGATTCTTTATGTGTTGCGCAACGCGGTTACGTCACAGATTATACGTGCCATGTACTCCACTGCACAGCGCGCAGCGGTCTTTTCGTCTTTTCAGCTGGGTAGCCGACAATGGCAGACGCCATGGAAATAAATGAAAACGAGCAAGACCAAAACGAAGGATATAGTAAGCGACAGAAGTTTTCCAAGGCATGGGATCACTTTACATTAAAAAGCAAGGAAAACACCATTGTATGCAAGCATTGCAAGGTGGAGCTACCACAAAAGCACTTCTTCCATGCTGCTGCACCTCTTAAGAAAGCATCCGACTGAGGGTATGAGTGAACGTGCCGAGATCAGGTAAATAAACTTTTTTTCAGGACGTAAATATTGACTCAGCTGTAGTGTCAATAAAATACATTTATTTTTTATAAGTTAGTTTTAAATTTCTGCCCTAAAATGCATCTGTTAAGTGTATATTTTTAAAATTGGTTTACAAAAAAAAAATCTTTGTGTAGCGGAGGCAAATGTGTATTATTTATTTGATATTCTGTATAAATATACAATATTACCTTACTTGATCTTTATTGTAAATATCAGAAGATTATAGGATTTTTGCTTTATTAAGTAATTATACACACCTCGTTTTGATTCAGAAAAGAGTCAGGTTTATAATTGTAAGAATTTATTTTAGAAACAATTAAAACATGACAAGTGAACTAAGCATTTACTGTGAATGGATGGAGCTAAAAGTGATGTAGGAACCTACACTCAACAAAAATATAAACGCAACACCTTTGTTTCTGCTCCGATTTTTCATGAGATGGACTTAAAGATCTGAAATTCAGTCCAGATACACAATATTACCATTTCTCTCAAACATTGATCACAAATCAGTCTAAATGTATGATAGTGAGCACCTGTGCTTTGCTAAGATAATCCATCCCACCTCACAGGTGTGCCACATCAAGATGCTGATCTGACATCATGAGTAGTGCACAGGTGTACCTTATACTGCCCACAATTAAAGGCCACCCAGGAATGTGCAGTTAATTGCTTTATTGGGGGTCTGGGGACTCAGAACCGGTCAGTATCTGGTGTGACCACCATTTGCCTTATGCAGTGCAACACATCTTCTTCGCATAGAGTTGATCAGATTGTCAATTGTGGCCTGTGGAATGTTGGTCCACTCCTCTTCAATGGTTGTGTGAAGTTGTTGGATATTAGTGGGAACTGGTACACGCTGTCGTATACGCCGGTCAAGCACATCCCAAACATGCTCAATGGGTGACATGTTCGGTGAGTATGCGTGGCCATGCAAGAACTGGGACATTTTCAGCTTCCAAGAATTGTGTACAGATCCTTGCAACATGGGGCCGTGCATTATCTTGCTGAAACATGAGGTAATGTTCATGGATGTACGGCACAACAATGGGCCTCAGGATCTCATCACGGTATCTCTGTGCATTCAAAATGCCATCAATAAAATGCACCTGTGTTCTTCGTCCATAACAGATGCCTGTCCATTAGGGATGAGTTCCGAATTCGGTACTTTTTAAGGTACCGACCGAATTCCATAGTACCGACCGAACACCGATTCACGTCATTTCAAACGGTGCCTCGTTTCGGTACTGCCAAGACAGTTGCGCATGCGCAAGAGCGTTATGTTGCCGGTCCCTGCGAGCCCGTTGTAAACAGAGCAAGCATGGTAGAAAGAATGCACGCTAAAGCTTGGGTCCACTTCACTAAATGTGATGGGTAACTGGGTGATGAAACTAGCGACAGACAACGATCTAAGTGAGACATCCTCATCTTAATCTGCTCGTAGGTAAATAAAATGTTTAAGATAACGTTACCTTGATTTGTTAGCTTCCGTTTCGCTAATGGAGCGTTCGCTTTCTCCTCGGAACTCCGAATTTCCGACTAGAAGAACATGAACGCGCTCTAAAGTTTGGCTTTACTTTACTAAATGCGACGGGTGAATGGATGAAGGTAAAACCAGCGACAACGATCTAAGTTTGAGGCATCATCGTTTTAATCTGCTCCAGCAGCTAAATAAACTGTTAAAGATAACGTTAGCTTGATATGTTAGCTTCCATTGCCACCGTTGTTACCAGCTAATGGTGCGTTCGCTTTCTCCTCGGAAATTCTAACTTCCCAGTAGGAAAAATCAAATGAAAAAGGACGGCAAAAGGAATGAAGATACACAGTAAATTTAGTTCACAGTAAAGGTGTTTGCTTCAGTTTAATTATCAGCTTATAAAACTACAAGGACGATGTTAAAATACAAACTTGTATGTTATTTATCGTGATATTTATCAAATATGGTTATATATTGAGAAAAATATATATTTAATTATAAAAGAGAATTAAAATAATAAACACTCAAAAGTATCGAAAATTGGTACCGTTAAGTACCGGTATCGACTCGTAGGTACCGGGAATTAGTACCGGATCGATTCAAATGTCAAAGGTACCCATCCCTACTGTCCATACCATAACCCCACCACCACCATTGGCCACTCGATCCACAACATTGACATCAGCAAATTGCTCATCCGCATGACGCCACACACGCTGTCTGCCATCTGCCCTGAACAATGTAAACCGAGATTCAACCGTGAAGACAACACCTCTCCAACATGCCAGACGCCATTCAATGTGAGCATTTGCCCACTCAAGTCTGTCACGGTGACGAGCTGGAGTCAGGTCAAGACCCCGATGGGGACGACGAGCATGCAGTTGAGCTTGCCTGAGACGGTTTCTGATTTAAACCCTCTCAGTTCTTTGTCTTTTGTTGGTTCATTGTTTCAGTGTCCAGCGTGTTTTTATATTAAACTATACTAAACGTTCGTGTCTATCTGCCTGCCTTCCTCACCCACATGTGGATCCTCACCTCCGCTTCACTCACCAGCACGCCGTGACAGAATGAACCAAACTCCTAAAGGATCCAGCGGGGAGGTTCTCCCCTGGGAGTACCTGCTTCAGTTCCTCACCTCAAACCACCGGCCGGCTTCTCCTCCTCCGGCGTCGCCTCGCCGCAGACGCCGCTGCCGAACCCCGGCCTTGGCGATCCTCTCCACCCTCCCGGAGCCAGTTGGGGGGTTGGACTGGGAGACGCAGCTAGACCGCTCCTGCTATGTGGGCACCAGACTGGCAGTGTGCTCCCCCAGAGTTAGCCCACGGTGTTGGGAAGGATGCCGGGCTCCAGCGTCAACCCCTGTCCCAGGACGGAACCACGGGCTCACCGCTACCCCGGCTTGGGACACCAGCTTGGACCCACCCCAGTCAGATCAGCGGCCCCATCTCCGGTCCAGTCAGCACCTCCTTCATCTACAGGCGGAGGGCCCACGCCTACAGCCCATCAGACGGAGCTCACCAGCCTCCAAGTGGAGCTTGACTGGCTCCGTCAACTCATTGCCTCCAGGAGTTCCAGCTGGACATCCTATCCTCCTCGTATCTCCAGGAGAAGGTTTCTGTCCAGCCAGCGGCCCCACCTCCGGTCCAGTCAGCAGCTCCCTCGTCTCCAGGCCAAAGGACCGAACCCACAGCCCATCCAACAGAGCTCGCCGGTCTCCGAGCTGAGCTGGTCCGACTCCTTCAGATTTTCAGGCTCCAGGAGCTCCTGGTGGACAATCTAACCTCCCTGCTTTTCCAGTTACCGGCTCCACCAGGTCCTGCGCCACCAGTCCAGTCTGCGCCAGGTCCCGCGCCACCAGTCCAGTCTGCGCCAGGTCCCACGCCACCAGTCCAGTCTGCGCCAGGTCCCGCGCCACCAGTCGAGTCAGCGCCAGGTCCCGCGCCACCAGTCCAGTCAGCGATAGGTCCCGCGTCACCCGTCCAGTCAGCGCCAGGTCCCGCGCCACCCTTCCAGTCAGTGCCAGGTCCCGCGGTGGTCCAATAGGCTCCGCCCCCGGGCCAGCCTGTCCAAGAGTCTCCGCCCCGGATCCAGCCTGTCCAAGAGGCTCCGTCCCCGGGCCAAACTGTCCAAGAGGCTCTGCCCCCGGGCCAGCCGGTCCAGTTGTCAGCGCACAGTCCGGCGGCACCAGCCAAGGAAGCGGTCCCGTCTGCAGCGGTTCCGCCTCGACTCCCGAAGTTGGCGGCCCCTCCTGCGGCGCCTCCACTCCAGAAATCGGCGGCGCCTCCAGTCCAGAAGTCGATGCCTCCAGTCCAGAAGTCGATGCCTCCAGTCAGGAAGTCGGCGCCTCCAGTCAGGAAGTCGGCGCCTCCAGTCCAGAAGTCGACGCCTCCAGTCCAAAAGTCGACGCCTCCAGCCCGGAGGTCGACGCCTCCAGCCCAGATGTCAACGCCCCCAGCCCAGGGGTCGACGTCGCCTCCAGCCCAGGGGTTGACGTCTCCTCCTCCAGCCCAGAGGTCGGCGACGTCTCCTCCTCCAGCCCAGAGGTCGGCGACGTCTCCTCCAGCCCAGAAGTCGACGACGTCTCCTCCAGCCCAGAAGTCGACGACGTCTCCTCCAGCCCAGAATTCGACGACGTCTCCTCCAGCCCAGAAGTCGACGTCGTCTCCTCCAGCCCAGAAGTCGACGACGTCTCCTCCAGCCCAGAAGTCGACGACGTCTACACCAGCCCAGAAGTCGACGACGTCTCCACCAGCCCAGAAGTCGACGACGTCTCCTCCAGCCCAGAAGTCGACGACGTCTCCTCCAGCCCAGAAGTCGACGACGTCTCCTCCAGCCCAGAAGTCGACGACGTCTCCTCCAGCCCAGAAGTCGACGACGTCTCCTCCAGCCCAGAAGTCGACGACGTCTCCTCCAGCCCAGAAGTCGACGACGTCTACACCAGCCCAGAAGTCGACGACGTCTCCACCAGCCCAGAAGTCGACGACGTCTCCTCCAGCCCAGAAGTCGACTACGTCTCCTCCAGCGTCTCTACCTGCCGAGTCTACCCCTGCAGTGGCTCTGCCTCCGGTCACCGCCGGTCCTGCCCTCGCCAGGTGCGGAGGGACCACGCCTACAGCCCATCAGACGAAGCTCGCCGGCCTCCAAGTGTAGCTTGACCGGCTCCGTCAACTCATCAGCCTCCAGGAGTTCCAGCTGGACACCCTATCCTCCTCGTATCTC